GCCTGATCCTGCAAACACTTAAACATGTGAATAATTTTACTCATATGAGTAATCCCACTGATTTCATTGAGCATACTCAAATGAGTAAAATTATTCACATGTTTAAGTGTTTGCAGGATCAGGCCCTAAGTGAACATATTAGACTAAATTCTGTTCAACTACATTGGTATAATCTGTATTAACCCATCACGTTTCCAAGTAGACTCCTAAATCTTTCCATTATCTGAATTCTGTTGGATTTATCATTCTTAGTAAATGCAAAGCAGCTTAATTTTTTTCCCCTTGTATTTAGTTGGTTGTGGGAATTCTAACTTCACATGCTTAGTATGGGCAGCGATAATTTTTCTTTGCATATAGAAAGGCTCTGCATTCTTCAGTGAAGAAGTGCATGTCAATTATTAAATTTAAGAATGTATCAAGGCTGCTTCTTTACCCTACTGGGTTAACTTTGCGATCGTTACAGTCTTTCATGTTTTTTAATCCAATGTCTTTTTAATGATGCATGTGCACTTAATTGACAAATTTGACCTCTGTTTCAGGTATTATTTATCACTGTGATCTGACGAAAGAAGAACTGGAGCCAAGAGTTTTCCGGGAGGTGACTGTGAAAGGATTTGATCCTTCGGTTTATCAGACAGTTCAGGTAATAACAACATGAATTTTTCTACCTTGTTTTAATCACTTGTGAAGCAGGCTAACAAAAACTGCAGTTAAATGAGAGTAAAATCACTTTCAAGCAACTCCTGTGTAATTTTCAATATCAGAGGTTGTAGAGTTTTGAGGCAGGACTAATGGGCTTTTTTTGGGTAAGTTTAGTATGTGCCATGCCATGTAACTAAGAGGCAAACACAAGCATGCATCTTCTCGTGTTTTTAAAGGTATAGTAGTGTTTTGCATCAGTCTCAGTGATGTAATTGCTTTCCATATACTGTGCAGTTCTTCCACTTTACTTAGTATAGTCATCCATGTAAACTCTTTTGGTTGGGAACTGTTTTGTTTTTGTTTGTACAGTACCTAGCACAATGGGGTCCTGGGCATTAATACATTACAAATCATAAATAGGTGTGTACAACATTTGGATTCTGACAAGCTAATTCCTAAAACTCCAAAATAAGAATGGCCATTCCAAGTCAGACCAATGGTCCATCGAGACCAGTAACCTGTCTCTGACTGTGACCAGTGCCAGAGGCTTCAGAGTGACTGAACAGAATAGGACAGTTATCGAGAGATCCATCCCCTGTTGTCCAGTCCCAGCTTCTGGGAGTCAGAGGTTTAGGGACACCCAGAGCATGGGGTTGCATCCCTGACCATCTTGGCTAAAAGCCATTGATGGATCCATCTTCCATTAACTTATCTAGTTCTTTTTTTGAACCCAGTTATTCTTTTGGCCTTCACAACATTCCCTGCCAACAAGTTCCACAGGCTGACTGTGCGTTGGTTGAAGAAGTACTTCCTTATGTTTGTTTTAAACCTGCTGCCTATTAATTTCATTGGGTGATTCTAGTTCTTGTGTTATGTGAAGGGATAAAAAAACATTTCCTTACTTGCATTCCCCATACCATTCATGATTCTGTAGATCTCTATCATCACCCCCACTACCACCCCACCTAAGTTATCTCTTTTTTTAAGCTGAACAGTCCAAGTCTTTTTAATCTTTCCTCATGTGGAAGCTGTTCCATACCCCTAATCAGTTTTGTTGCCCTTCTCTGTCCTTTTTCCATACTAATATATCTCTCCTGAGATGGGGTGACCAGAACTGCATGCAGTATTCAAGATGTGGGTGTACCATGGATTTATACAGTAGCATTATCTTTTCTATCTTATTACCTCTTTTTCTTGATCATTCCTAACATTTTAGCTTTTTTCACTGCTGCTGCACATTGAGCAGATGATTTTAGAGAACTATCCGCAATGACTCCAAGATCTCTTTTCTGGAGTGGTAACAGCTAATTTAGATCCCATTGTTTTGTATGTATAGTCGGGATTATTTTTTCCAATGTGCGATACTTTTCACTTATCGAAATTAAATTTCATCTGTCATTTTATTGCTCATTTACCAAGTTTTGTGAGATTCCTTTATAACTCTTTGCAGTCAGCTTTGGACTTAACAATTTTAAATAATTTAGTATCATCTGCAAACTTTTCAATGTCACTGTTCATCCCCTTTTCCAGATCATTTATTAATATGTTGAATACCACATGTCTCAGTACAAATCCTTAGTGGAACCCACTATTTACCTCGTTCCACTGTGAAAACTGACCATTTATTCCTACCCTTTGTTTCCCATCTTTTAACAAGTCACTGATCCATGAGGCGACCTTCCTTCTTGTCCTATGACTGCTTACTTTGCTTAAGAGCCTTTGCTGAGGGACCTGGGAAAGTGAGGAAACAGATTGACAGCGTGAGACGGGTACCCAGAAGTCACCTACTACAGGACAGGCCCAACAAGGAAAACGAAAACAACAGAACACCACTGGCCATCACGTACAGACCCTAGCTAAAACCTCTCCAGTGCATTATCAACGATCTACAACCTAAACTGGAAAATGATCCCTCACACTCATAAACCTTGGGAGGCAGGCCAATCCTCACTTATAGACAGCCCCCCAACCTGAAGCAAATACTCACCAGCAACTACACACCACACCACAGAAACACTTACGCAGGAACCAATCCCTGTAACACACCCATATCTACTCTAGCAATAACATCATTGGACCCAACCACATCAGCCACATCATCAGGGGCTCATTCACCTGCACATCTACTAATGTGATATATGCCATCATGTGCCAGCAATGCCCCTCTGCCATGTACCTTGGCCAAACCAGACAGTCTCTACGTAAAAGACTAAATGGACACAAATCAGACATCAGGAATGATAACTTACAAAAGCCAGTAGGAAAAAATTTCAGTCTCCCTAGACATTCAATAACAAATGTAAAAGTAGCCATTCTTCAACAAAAAAACTTCAAAAACAGACTTCAAAGAGAAACTGCAGAACTACAATTCATTTGCAAACTTTACACCATTAATTTGGGCTTGAATAGGGACTGGGAGTGGCTGGCTCACTACAAAAGCAATTTTCCCTCTGTTGGTATTTCCCTCTCTTGGGAGTGGACCACATCCACCCTGACTGAATTGGCCTTGTCAACACTGGTTCTCCATTTGTAAGCTAATTCCCTTCTCCTCATGTGCCAGTATATGTATGCCTGTTTCTGTAATTTTCACTCCATGCATCTGAAGAAGTGGGGTTTTCTTACCCATGAAAACTTATGTCCAAATAAATCTGTTAGTCTTTAAGGTGCCATCGGACTCCTCTGTTTCTCTAACCAGGTTTATTCACCGGGTAGCCTTCAACTGTGTATCTCTAACCAGCAAGCTTTGCTGAGGAGTTACGATTACAATCTGTGGGACTCTCTCAAATTTCAAAGACTCTCTGCCTCAAGAGTCAAGGCAGGAATTCGCTGCCCTCTTGGAGGAGAGTAAGAATGTGGCCAGGACCTCTCTCCAGGTAACTCTCGATGCAGCCGATGCGGCAGCAAGGACAGTGGCCTCTGCTGTCACCATGAGGTGGTGTTCTTGGCTCCAGTCCTCAGGACTTCCTCATGAGGTCCAACAGTCCATTCAGGATCTCTCCTTTGAAGGCTCCTCACTATTTCTGGAACAGAAAGACACGAGACTTCACAGCCTGAAGGACTCTAGAGCCACTCTCAGGCCATTGGGCCTCTATGCTCTGTCTGCTTCCAGGAAGCACCTCGGGCCCCAATAGCCACCTCATTTCTTGGAGCCCTCTCCGAGACAGGAGTCCTACAAAAGGGAAGGCAGAAGTTATAAATGTCGTCAGTCATTCCCATCCACCTCAACCTCCTAGCCAGAGTCTGATAAGTACTCTGGTGGGCCCAAGCAGGCCTTTTGAAGGTACACCCAAAGGCGCTATACTAGTTCCCACTTCAGATCCTGCCTCCCTTTTATTTTTGGACCATCTGTCCCATTTCAGCCTGGCCTGGTCCTGTATAACATGGGACCACTGGGTGCTAAGTACAGTGACAATTGTCTATATCCTTCAGTTTTTATCCATCCCTCCCTCACATCCCCCACCCCTGTCGCTCTTTGTGGACCCTTCTCGCGAGCAACTCCTTGCCCAGGAAGAGCAATCCCTCCTATGCATGGGGGCTGTGGTGGAGGTTCCTCAAGACTTGAGAGGAAAGGGGTTCTACTCCCTATATTTCCTAATCCCGAAGGCCAAGGGGGGCCTCTGCCCCATTCTGGATCTACGTTGCCTCAACAGATCTCAAGAAACTGAGGTTCTGTGTGGTCTCTCTAGCCTCCATCATTCCCTCTCTTGCTTCAGGGGACTGGTATGCCGCCCTTAACTTAAAGGACACATATTTTCACATTTCTGTCTTCTTTGACCACAGAAGATTTCCCAGATTTATTGTGAATCAATGCAATTACCAGTTCATCACTCTTCCTTTCAGCCTCTCAGCAGCCCCTTGGGTTTTCACAAAGTGTATGGTGGTAGTAGCAGCCCTTCCTCAGACGGCAAGGCGTCCAGGTCTACCCACACCTCAACGACTTGCTAATCCAAGGTCAATCAGAAACTTATGTGCGGAACAGCATCAGCATGATCCAGACAGCTTCCAGGCATTGGGCCTGTTGATAAACGAGGAAAAGTCGGCTCTTGTTCCAGTTCAGAGAATAGAATTTATTGGGGTAGTGCTCAACTTGACCCAGGCCAGAGCCTTCCTTCCGGAGGCCCAATTTCAAACTATATGTCAGACCTGATATCCATGGTCATGGTACACCCAATTATGACTGCCTGAGTTTGCCTCAATCTGCTGGGGCACATGGCCACATGTAGGTTCAGCATGCAAGGCTGCGTCTCAGGCCCTTGAAGCCGTGGCTAGTGTCATTTTACTCCCCAAACAGACACCACTTGGACTCAGTGCTCACTATTCCTACCCTGGTCCTCACCTGTCTGGACTGGTGGAAGGACCCAGGGTCAGTAATGATGGGGGTATCCTTTGTTGCCCCTCAGCCGTCAGTCTCCCTAGTCTCGGATGCATCAGATGTAGATTGGGGAGCCTACCTCAACTGTCTCAAGACGCAGGGCCTATTGGTCAGGGAATTCAGGGCTGTATGTTTAGCTTGCCAAGTGTTCCTCCCTCAGATCTCAGGCAAGGTGCTGCAAGTTCTCACAGACTACCACGGCCATGTTCTGTATCAGGAAACAGGGAGGTACTCGATCCTCTGCCCTGTGTCAGGAGGACATCCATCTGTGGGAATTCTGCATGAAACACTCCATCCACCTGGAGGCAACATATCTCCCAGGAGCCCGGAATGCACTGGCAGATCACCTCAGAAGATCCTTTTCCCTTCACCCGGAGGTGGTCCCTTCACCTGGAAATTGGCAGGTTCATCCCTCAAAGGTGGGAGTCTCCCCAGGTAGACCTGTTCACGACCAAGCAAAACAGGAAGTGCAATCAGTTTTGCTCGCTTTGCTGGCACAGTCTGGACTCCCCGTCTGACACCTTTCTGCTCCCTGGTCAGGACCCCTGCTCTATGCTTTTTCCCTGGTCCCTCTTGTTCACAAGGTCCTCCTGAAAATCAAGCAGGACAAAGTGAGAGTTATTCGAATA